CCCCCCCCCCCCCCCCCCCACCAAAAAAAAAAAAAAAAAGAAAAGAAATAAAAATTGTTTGATACTTCTGCTAATTGAATTTTATAAAAGAAATCTTTCTTCACCTGTACGTGTTAAAAGACCAAAAACCTGGATTGAGGCAGTAAATTCTGAAGTAAAACTAATATTTTGTGACACCATTGTAATCATACTATTCTTTCTTTCTTTCTTAATACAAATTCTGAGTTTTTAATGCTGGTTTATGAACATAACTAAGAATGAAACTCAACCAAAGGACAGTTACTTGCATATTGCAAAGGAAAAAGCAGACACAGAGCATTAAGCCTGGAAAATCTCTAAAGTGAGTATTCAGAGGATGTTTGGCTTAGCTTACATGTAACTTGAAGCAATTCTTGATCCAGATGATAAATAATTGGACAACTGATGAGGCAGTAGATATTCAAGAAGAGTGAATCCTAAAATCGAGAAATTTAGAGATTTTCCGGGCTTAATGCTCTCTTCCAAGCTCTTTGGCTCTCTTAAGTACATCTTGATGGTTTTCAATTGTCTCCTGCAGCGCAATGTGTTGAATTGCATCCCCCAATATAGAAACTCTTTCCAACTATTAGCATAGAAAATGACACGAGTAATGAGGATAAACAATTCCCAGCACCTTGTAGATATCGTTTAATATGTTAAGAATGTGAATATTCAGAGCATGTTTGGCTTAGCTTACAAGTAACATAAAAGAATAGTTTTCTCAAAAGTATCTAGACATAGTAGAAAAGTAACCTTTAAGTTTAGCTAACACACTAATATATAAACCTTAGAAATCATCGGAACTAATGAGCAAAGAGCCCGTCTTTTATCCTCTTCCTCTGGTTTCTCTCTGAGATGAGTTTTGACTGGTAATGCTCCTTTTCTCCCATCTGCCAATCCTTCAAAAAGGCATTCTCATCGGTGTTTTGCCTTCCTTTCAAATTCAGATTTCCACTTGATTTTTCAGGCTAGATATTTCCAATCACATGAAACGAATGTGTGTTAAGTGATTGCTGCTCATTTGAAAGGATCAACATAATGGATGATCCCGAATCCATGTTTAGTCGTGAAATTGTGATAAGCAAATTCAAACAATGAAGTGATGGGGGCCAATTAATTTGGTGGCTGTTCCATTATGGATCACAAAGTTCTCTATTGTTAAGATTGATATAGCCCTAATCAGTCATGTTCTCGTCATACAGAAATTTTGAACCTAGCAGAGACAAAATCTATCGTCTTTTGGTTTTTTGGTATCTGGAAAACAAAATGAGAATTTTCTTTCACAAAATTTACTCAAGAAATATTACATTTTCCAGTAAGGAACGAAGGCTTACAAGATTTGTACTAAAGAGCCCAATATAACCAACAGCAACTGTAATTAGAACTTGGGTTCCAACGGTTCCTGCACTCGAAGTATGCACGACAAAAAATCTCAATCCTTTACTCAAATTAATCTAAAGGTCCATGTATATCTAATTAAGAATAAAGCTTATTTCCCAGAAAATTTTTGACATTTAGGTCGACGTTCACTCACATGAATAAAAAATGCCAAACACCCTCCCTGTCAAGATAGCTTGGTCCTTTAATTAAATCCATAAAATTACCCCCATAGCGCCCACAAAATCCCCCCTTCGACTTCACAGATAATGATTTGTCGGGGAAAAAAAAGTTTCAACCTGAACATTTTTAACCAAATAAAACTACTGTTGTATATTTTTTGGCAGACTTTCAGTACCATTGCTTCATGAAGGAATGTCATCAAAGAGACATTCTGGTAAAGGTTCGAAGTCTACAATCTATGTATAATGGCACAATAGTTCAACTTCTATTTTTCTTTTGAAAAATTTAGAAGGCCCACAATCGAGCTCAACTTGAAATGATTGAATCATTGCTATAGAAAAATGATCCAAGGTTAATGCCAATCAATGAATTGCCACAAATTCGTAGAATATTTCTCGAAAATCTTAATCCCTATTTGCATATAAATAAAAGAAACGAAAAATAATCAAAGTTCGCAGATTTAGTGCCATATCGAGTCCTATTTTTACTGTGGCGTGGTAAAAAGTAGTGATAGACACGAGGAGATAGAATCTCTAAGAGTTTATATTCAACCTGTTCATGAATCAATATTCTACATATAGTGAGTGTGAGTGATACATTCAAACTTCTAAGATTTTATACAGATATACTATTAGGGATTCCTCTTCCAGTGATGCCTCCATCTGATCCCTTATTTGATGACGTACCAGGATATAAAAGCTCATATTCAATGTTAGCAGGTCCTTGTCTGTTCTTAAGCTTTGGATCTCCATTTCTCTCTCTGATCTTTTTCTCCACTTCTTTAAGTTCATGGGCAAACTTCTTGAAGCTCTGATGAATCCTTTGATCATCTATCCACTTAGGTGACAGCTCTTGACCTAAGTTCGCATCATCAGACATGTGCCGTGACAGAACCTCGACCAAGGCTATGCTAAGAGTCATCTCAGACCTTGTAGGTAAGGTATTGAAATAAAACTTGTCAGGATCCCTAAGAAATTCAGCAAACTCGTGTGTCCCTTCAACTGGAATAAACTTTCTACAGGACGTAGGGCGATTTGGTGGATAACCAGCATACATATTTTGTCCAAAATTTACTGCAGCATGAAAAGCTGAAACAGTCCATATTAGAGTTGTTAAAACCTGTTTTATGTCTCCGAGAGTTGTCAGCGAGTACCACCACGTTTCATTGCGTTTGTCGCCATGACCTACATTTCGGATTTCTGACCACCAGTTTTGCATCTCATAGTCAGAACTAACAGAATCATCATCCTTGTAGAAGTATGAACAAAATTCTGTCACCCAGTTCTCAATGGCGATCCAAATATCCAGTCCATCTGAACCATACGGATAGTCCTCAAAAAGAAGTTGAACTCCTGCTGGCAGATTTTCATTGTATATGGCCATTCCTCTGCATTAAAGTTTCATAGGTTTATGTATAATTCCTACCATCAAGACCAATAATAAACAAAAATCAATACGAAAACAAGCCAAGCATGTGCAAGACCTATAGTGGGTCACCACTGAACCCCATGTACTCATTTTTGAGTTGTGTACAATGTGATTAAAGCTCCATATAGTCCAACAGAAAAGAGAGAATTATAAAGAAGAAGAAGAAGAAATAGTTTGACTTTGCACCCAGGATGAGGCTGATAATGCAAAGTACCTTATGATCAAATCCATAGGGAGGCTTTGTTCATCAAATCTCCATTTCTTGTACAGAGCAGAAGACAACTCCATAGAGATAGGACCAGAAAATAGTGTCTTTTCAAGTATGCCTCCAGCATTTACGACCATAGATCGAGCCAATGCATTCACTTGAATAGTGTCTTTGAAATGAGGATCAAGTAACCGGTGAATTGGATGCATCACACTCAGATGCCTTCTGGTGGCAATGATAAATGGCTCAATTACTGCATGAGTTTTTAACCTACAAAAAACGTTGAGTACAGAACATTGGAAAGAAAAATGATGTAAGAGAACTGCTTTTTCTTTGCAGAGTTCAGAAGTCATGATTATGCTTAGAATCATTTTGTGAACTCACCAATGGTTGATTAGTTGATGGTGACTGGAGTCATTGGCTAATACGTGAGCTTTTGCAAGTTGCCACAGCGCGGCCTCTGTCCCATTAATTGCTGGACAGAACACTCTGTTGATCTCCATACGAGGTAAAGAACTAGGCAAGCTCAGTTCTATGGCCAACAGCTTCAGTGTGTTATCGCTTCTCAAGAATAGTAGAGTTCGGGAAGCATAAGCACGTATACCTTCAGTGTTTATTCTGCTTAAAAATGGCATGAGATAATCATGGTGATCCAAGATGAAAATCCGACATTGGTTCATTGCCTGACAATGTTTAAGTCAAGTAAAAAAATGTGTCAATGAAACCAAAAAAGAAAAATGAAAATAAGTCTTCTGAACACTGCTACTGTAGAAGGAATTTGATAAGCAAGAAAGCTTTGGGGTGGTACAAAATTAACCATACGTGAATTTCTCTTCTAACCACGTAACAAACACACATATTCTGAGACTAACACAGAATTATATAAAACCTGATACTTGCCCATCTGATCCAACTTTTGCTTAGTCCAGAACTGTGGTCCACACGGGCCTCTTTTATTTTTTCAAAAAATTCTCCAAAAATGAAAAAAAAAGAAAAAAAGAAGAAGCATTGGACAAAGTGATCCATCTTACATGACTATTTAAGTCGAATTGCTGTTCATTATAATTCTGATTCATTTCTTATTCAGTGCATCCCAATTCAGAGTTAGTAACCGTGTTAAACAATTTTGAAGCAAAAGATCTCTAGAATTTGGTATAGAATGATAAGGGTGTAAAAAAATGGAGATCAGAATTGACTTACCTCTTGAACGGTCAGGCCATCGAGGTTTTGTTCTATGTCTGATTGCTTTATTAAACTCCATACTCCCTTTTTGCTTTTTGGAGGGAACCTCTGTATCATATTTTAGCATTTATGTCATTAGTGCCACTTGAACTTTAAAGAATATAAGTACCCAGTACATGAATTTTAACTTCGTTAATACTAATTTTAGAAATGCCATTTTGCACGGCAGGGTATACTGTAGTTCTATGGATCAACTTCAGAATAAAGCCTTAGAGATCATTGCCTTGACCCTCATTGATCATCCATTTAACCAGATGTGCCAGGAAAATGTTAAAAAAACGAGTGAAGTAGGCTTCCAAAATGAATAACCAAAAGGGACTTTAGGTCTCTTTATAATTTGTTTATATGTGAACCACTTCACATGATGCGATGAATCCAAGAAACGATTTCTTTTCCTTCTTTCCAGACCAGAAATCATTGACTGGCCCTAATAAAATCAAGTCCAAAACTGACAAACATTTAATTGATATCTCGTATAACAAATGGTTCAACTGAATAGTCAAGTGTCTACCGAAGAATATTAACCTTAATAGTACACCTTGGCCCCCAAATTATACATGTAATTCCTCAGCATAGGCAAGCAGAAACTGAATGTATAATGGCTTCACAACTCCACTCACAACATAACACGACCCTCCAATGACATACAAGAAACTGGATGTATATTGAAGGGCCTCAATGAGACCCTGTGAGTGACCCTTTTCCAATCTCTTTAGTTTAAGCACCTTTTAGATGTACATCAGATTTACATTGAACAAGGAAAACGAAATTATTCCATCAAATTATGTTGAGGATCATTGAAGAAAAATGTATTTGTTTTATAAACATTTTTTAGCAACTAACTTTGAAAATAATTTATTTATGGGTTTCATCATAAATATGAATGTAATTTAACGTTTAATATTATTAGTTCTCATTTAAACTTATGTGTTAACTTATATTAAATATATTACTATAATGTCGATAGGTAAATTGCGGATTAAACCCAAACCAAACCTCAAATTATGATTTGTCTTTTCAGGTCACTTGACGCACCTGCAAACATTGGATTACAGTTGGATTAATTCCTGAAAGCATCTGTCGCCCAAATTCGTCATCATTCATCCATGCAAACTTGTTCCCTGAAATGCAGAAAATCAGAATCAGGTTTTGCTTCTTTAATAAACAACTTAATAGACGAAAATTGCATTTTATTTTGTGATGACAGGCTTATATGTATTCAAGCATCACCTGCTATGATTTCAGGAAGCGGAGATTTCACTGGGTTCTTCTTGATTACTTGTTTAATTTTTTGAAGAAGATCATTAGGCACTGCAGGTTTCAAAATCTTCACTACCCGCTCTTCCACTCCTTGGACCCTAGTAGTAGTAAACAACTGCTGTAACTCATTGAAGGACTCAAAATGACTCGACCCCTCTTTGAACATTGCTTTTGCCTCCAGCATAACAAAACGCCCAGCTGCCTGGATTACATTTGATATGAACTCTGATAGTTTCTTAGGGCTAAACCGCTCATCCGGAGGTACATATATGTCGATGTTGAATGATTCAGGTTGGCTCTCAGTTCTAAAATCTAAATATTTTTAAAAACCATATCAACATATGTCATTCCTATAGATAAATTAATTATAAAAAAGTTATATATTAGATAAATCAAATTATTTTTAAATCTTTTCTAAATTAATTAATTAAATAATTGAATCCAATTTTTTGTTTTAATTTTTTTGACCCAATTATTAGTTTAATATTGGCCAATTATTAGTCTAATATTGAGTCCAAGAGGGCCAAGACTAGCATACATATGTATGAGGAAATTACACAGATGCAAGGGTTTAAAGATACAAACTCTAAAATCATGGACAAGGTTTAATTAAGCAAAAATCAGGTTTATCAATATAATAATTAAAAATTAATATTCCCCAAAATTACTCCAAAACCTAATAATTTTTTCTCTCTCTCTATGTCTTTCTTCTCTCTCGTTACGTTCTCTCCCGTTCTCCATCACAGAATGCTAGCCGACGCTCTAAAGACGGTCTGAAGGTGTGGTGGCGGTATGGTGTGTTGTGATGGTGAGTCTGTCTTGTGCGGTGGGGTCTCGCCGGGTCAGATTTGGTGGTGGAGGTTCGATTTTCAGCAGTGGATCTGGTGAAACGATGGCGACGCATGGTTGTTTTGCTTTTCTTCTATCGATATGTATGGGCTCTTCGATCTCCACTTGTGTTCTTCGATCTCACCGTCGACCGCTTTCACTCACTCTGTCAATTCCATGGCACTCACTCCAGTGAGTCGCACTGTGCAAATCCATGCTTCCTCTTTTTTTTTTCTTTTTCTTTTTTGAGTGTTGTGTTGAATGATGGTTCGGTGGTAGTGTGCGGTATGGTATTGGATTGGTGGTACTATAGGGCGGCGGTGTTGTAGTGGTTGGGTGAGTGGATCTGGCTGTCGTGGTGTATTGTTTGTTGGTCATGGTGGTTGCAGATTGTGTAGTTATTCAGGTGTCGGCGAGGCAGTGGTTGTTTAGCATCTGTGACCCGCTATTTGGTTCCTATGACGGACTCTTGAACTATGACCTTAAAATTCTATAATTTGTGAGTTTGTGACCATGTACTGTGGTGGATCGAGATCGGTGTATGGTGTCTGTGACCGACAATTAATCCGTGATCTTCAAATTCGATCATTTTGTGACTAAAAAAATAATCCGTGATCATAAAATTGGAAAATACGCGATCTGTGACTTATAATATTTTGGATTTGTAACCATTTGTGACCCGTGACCTATAATTCTTTGAAATTTGTGACCAATGACATAAGTTGTGATCTATAAAATCGATAGATAAATAGTAATCTATAACTTCGAAATAATCTGTGACCTATCAAAATTTTGATTCTTGACCACGAAATAATTTATGACTAATTAATTTGATTATATGTGATCAATGAATAAATCTATGACCTATAATTGTGTATACATAGTCATTAATTGTATAATTGTGACCTTATTATATTTAATTAATTAAATAAAAATCTGATTTTTGCATTAGTTAAACTTAAAACATGGTTTTAGAATTGTGCATAGTTAATACATGCTTTATGAAATTTTCCCTATATGTAATCTTTGTCTCTGATTGTCTCTTTGACCTAACAAATCCATTTGAGTAATTGAAAAGTGAAAACCTACAAGCCGCCATGCCAAGTCCAACTTCCCTGTTGAACTACCCATCTCCGACGAAGACAACCGATGGTATTAGATTGAAGTAAATGGGGATAATGCTGCTCCACTTTACAAGTGCTCGAAGCTGGGAAAGTGGGAAATTTTTTATTCTTAGAAACATCTCTTCCTGCGGATTCATGTCGGTATGTAATTCTAACAAGTCTCAAATTCAAGTTTTGTTGATTATTCAACTTGGATTTGAAATTTTATCTGAGGTTGCAAGGGATGTTCTTGCCATTCATGTATCTGCAGTTGCTTTTGAGTCAACATTTAGTACTGGAGGGTGCATTCTCGATCCATTTAGAAGTTCTTTAACTCCTAAAACAGTTGATGCCTTGATTTGTGCACAAAAATTGGTTAAGGGAAGAATTTAGACTTTTGAGAGTTTCCCAGGATCGAGTTTGCATCGAAGAGACAGATTTCTATGAGGGCATTGAAACAGATAATGAAATATATGTTATAATTTTTCTTATTAAATATTATTAGTTGAACAATTTTTAATTTATTTATGTTTGTTAATTGTGTTTTTCCAAATTTTTCTTGTAGAGTTTCTTAGTAGTGAGTATGACAAGTCAACCAATTGATGGATAAATCAAATAGTTGGTAAGTATTAGCAATACCTTAAAATATTTTTTCTCTATAACTTCTAATTTATTATTCATTTTTCATGTAGACTTAAAGTTTGAAGCAAAGGAACCATTGAATGGATTATCGAAGATTTCGTATTAGTATTTACTTTTTGGTATTTGTATGTGTTAGTGAATTAATCTTGTGGGGCAACTTGTTATTTATATGTTATTAAATTGGACTATGTTAATTTGTAAAACTACAATTGAATGTATCATTAGTTGTATTTATATAGTGTTGTTATAAATGTTAAAAAATTTAATTATAGTACGAAACCGAATGAAATCGAACCGAATAGAATCGAATCCAAATGGTTCCATAATTTTATTTGAACTCAAAGATTCCATTTACTAAATACTTGAAAAATTTTGGTTCGATTTTGTTCTCTTTAAAATCGAACCGAACCGACCTGCGTTGAGGCCAACTTCAAAATATGGATGCATCAAGTCAACAGATATTATTAGTCCACATGCTAAGATCTATCATACACCCTATAAAATTGGATTAAATTCACCAATGATTACCCAACCTTACACTTAACCACCAAATTTGATTTTGTTTAACCATAACAATCCAATATTATATTAGTATCACCACGACCACCCACTTTGATTTTATTTCATATGACCCAACTTATTTTTACAAATTTCACTAATTTTAAAAGGGTTAAAACGGTCATTTTGCATTATATTTATAAAATAAATTTTAAAAAATAAAAAATTATTTTTAAAAAATAAAATAAAATAACTTATTTAAAAAAACATTACTTAAAAAAATAAAATAAAATAAAAGCCAAAAAAATTACTTAAAAAAATAAAATAAAATAAAAGCCTATTTGAAAAACGTTACTTAGAAAAATAAAATAAAATAAAAAATTATTTTAAAAATACGTTCCTTATTAAAATAAAATAAAATTAAAACTTATTTTAAAACAAAATTATTTAGAAAAATAAAATAAAATTTTATTTAAAATAAAAACAATTTTTAATTTTGTTTTTTCAAAAATTATTTTATATATACAATGCAAGTTTACCATTTTACCTCTTTCAAAATTGGTGAAAATGGTGAAAAATTTGTGTGGCCATGAAATTAGGTGAGCATAATATAATAAAATAAAATAAAATAATATATATATCACCTCTCTTGCAGTGGCGGATCCAGTACCTGGTGAGGAGACGCGACCACAAGTGCTGAATCCGTCGAAATTTACAAGCTTCCCTTACTCAGATTAGTGAAGTTACAAGGAAGATTGAAACAGAAATGGGGAAGAAGAAGCAGAGAAGTTACATGGGAAGCAAAAGGGAAAGAAGTTCTATTCTTGGGCCATTTTTTTGTTTTTAGATTTTGGTTTTTTTTATTTTTTTTAAATATAAAAAAACAATGACCCATTAATAATTGCAAAGGAAACAAGCCCATAGACGTTTTCATTTTGGGTAATTAGCACAAAACATCCCTACCTTTCGATGTTTTTGTGGAAAATGTCCCTACGTTTCATTTTTTGGCGAATTACACCCTTACCTTTACCTTTTTTTGCGCAAGACGTCATTCTATCAACTCTCCGTTAAAATGCTCCGTTAAATCAAAAAGGTAATTAGCACAAAAGGTCCCTACCTTTCAAAATTATTGTGCAAAACGTCCATACCTTTTATTTTTAGCATAATTAGTAGAAAAGGTCCCTACTTTTCAATATTATTGTGCAAAACGTCCCAACCTTTCATTTTTAACATTTTTACCCCTACATTTCACCTTTCATTGCGCAAAAGGTCATTTTCATCCATTTTTTCAATAAAATGACGATTTTACCCTCCTATTGAAATAAAACAAAAAGAAAAGAAAAAAATAATTAATTAATTGCAATCATAGTTCTAAATCTTTCAAAACATTACAGATAAATCATAAATTCTCAACCACCACCATTTTCACAACCTATCAAGCTGCCAACTATAAATCCACATAATACCACCTTTCGGCCACCATGCCCACCGGACTCCACCACCGTAAATGTAGTTGTTTCGGATAGATTGGTGACCAATACTATGGAGGAGGATATTGGGGAGAGTGAGGCGACACTGGTGGTGATGGAATCCGATAAGTGTTGTGGTCGAAAAGTGGTGCTATATGGATCCATAGGTGGTGGCTTGGTGGGGTTGTGAAAGTGGCTGTAGTGGAGAATTTAGGATTTATCTGTAATGTTTTGAAAGATTTAGAACTATGATTTCAATTAATTAATTATTTTTTTCTTTTCTTTTTGTTTTATTTCAATAGGAGGGTAAAATCGTCATTTTATTGAAAAAATGGATGAAAATGACATTTTGCGCAATGAAAGGTGAAATGTAAGGGTAAAAATGCTAAAAATGAAAGGTAGGGACGTTTTGCACAATAATATTGAAAGGTAGGGACCTTTTCTGCTAATTATGCCAAAAAATAAAAGGTCGGGACGTTTTGCACAATAACTTTGAAAGGTAGGGACCTTTTGTGCTAATTACCTTTTTGATTTAACGGAGTATTTTAACGGAGAGTTGACAGAAGGACGTTTTGCGCAAAAAAAAGGTAAAGATAAGGGTGTAATCCGCCAAAAAATGAAAGGTAGGGACGTTTTCCACAAAAATATCGAAAGGTATGGATGTTTTGTGCTAATTACGCTTTTCATTTTATATGACATTTCATCTCACACCAAACCATATCCTCTACCTCTCGACTGCCTGGCTCTCATTCTCCGACTCACGCCTTCACGTAGCATGCCGGCACCCACAACTTTGCTGTTGCTCTTCTGAAAATAGGTGAAATGTTTAGGCATTCGAAGCATTAAAGAATTGAAATATGATTCCAAGAACGATAAAAATATGAAATTCAAAAATTTAAATTTATGACTTCATTATTAATACATAATTCCCCTAGCCTTAAAATAGAACAGCTATCTTTCTCCTTTTTATTTTTTATTTTTCTTGAACCTAATGTCCACAGCTGTTTCGCGCGGGTTAATTCGCTAACAATTAAAGAGGATCAGACGATTGTGTAAGGGACGAAACCTCTTGAGACAAAGTCCCAAAAAGGGGTGTTCTTTTTATTGGCGATGAACTTTACAATTGGAAACGGAAAACAACGTGCCTCCAAGGGGCGCAAGCACACGAGTTACAGAAAAGGAAATGTTTAAGTCTAAAAGCTAAAGGAATGAAAATTACATATTCTCTGTTCGAGAGTTTTGGATTCGGTCCTTGCTTCTAAGTTCTTTCTCCCTTTTATACTTCATAGGCGATCCCTTTGTGATTAACTGCTCTAAAAAACTGCTTGATCGCCCAATAACTACCCACTTTCTTTGTAATGGCCACTTTGTCATGCAACTGTCTTTTAACTGCTGCCATTATCTTGCATCGTTCAACCGCTTTCGATTGAACCCCTTGAGTCGTGGAACGTGATGAAATTACTTTAGCAACTGCCTCAATAACTGCATCATAATGCGTTATGTTTGTTGATACCTTGGGCGACTTGAAGATTTGGGCGAGACTTTGGACGACCGTATGCCACTCTATTCGTTCAGACTCTGAGCGACTTGCAAACTTGGGCGATGGCGTTACCGCACTATTGGGCCCCTTATTTGAGCATTCACCTTGATTCGTTCAATTGGATTTCGTTCTTTGAGCTATCTGATTTGGGGACCTTCCAATTGGACTTTATTCTCTGGGCTGTTCGATTTGGGCTGAATTTTTATGTGTCAACAACAGCACTTGCACAATTTCTGCGTCCGTATTGACATTCGTATAAACCGTTAGCCCCATATATCTCATATCATTCTCCATCATCCACAACCTGCAATAAAACAAAGTATATATTAAGTGTTTATAACATATATGTTGTAATTAATTATAAGAGTCTGTTTGATTCTTATTTTTCTAAGAATGAAAATGAAAAATATAGTCGTTACGAGACCCACACAATAAATAAAAAGTCAAGTATGGTGGTTTGATGTGATGGATAACGGTCGTATTTTTCATTTTTGTAGTCAAAGAATGGAATCAAACTGGCCCTAAATATATACTTACAATGGTGTTGGTTCTCAGAAAGAAATGGTAGTCTCCTTGGGCAACTAGACGCACTAGAAAAACTCTAGATATATGTCTAAATGTTTGACTGCAAGACAGAGTTTCCTGTAAATTATCGATCAACAGAAGACCAAGAATGCCAATTAGTATATCATCAATCAAGTGACTGTGAGATAATAAAATTATAATGCTAAAATATGAGAAATTTATTATAAAATAATGACATTATTTGCTTTTATCGTGTATCTATAAAAAATCTAACTCCAATTAAAAATACCCATTTTTGATTACGGGTTTTACACGGCAAGAAATTCCGGGCAAGAACCACATATAACTTCTTCTGCACTTAAACTTATCGTCTCAGTTGGTCTTCCAACAGGAACGGCTAGTCGTTGGATAACAATCATTTTGTGGTGATTGTGGCTCATTCATCTAATATGCCCGCATAGTAGTTTGTTTTTGACTATTTTTAGGTTTGTAATTTGAAAATGAATATGACATTTGGGATGTAGTTTTGAGTATTTATATCGCCGCAAAATTTCTATATCTTAGAGAGTAAATTATCCCTTTGTTGTTCCTTTTTCATGTTAGTTCATAGAGGAGCCCAAACTAGCACCATCATGGGTAGTAATAGAAAGTTTATAAAGTGGCATCACATGATTCATTAAAGAACATTTTTTTTTCCTATTACTTCAATGAAGCCGTGACATCAGACGTGTTAAAGAATTTGTTTGCTTATAGCATCTGATGCACATGAATTGATAATATTTTGAATGAGAATTTAGGATTTTTTCCCTCATATGTACATAACAGCTCCTTTAGGTCACACAATTCGGAGTAACTCCTCTTTGTATTATCAGTTGCACAACACTTACAGAATTTTTGCTCACAGACGTTTTACAAAAAAGACACATTGGTGGGGTGGGTGGTTGATTTTTTGACATTTTATATCACACATGGAGCTCGCGCACAGTGAGGGTTCTAGCCAGATTCTGTGAACAAAAATTTTGTACATACAGAATTTTCCTTGTATTATTTCATATCTAATGGATTCTAATCTTCATCTTTATTGAAAGAGTCTCAATAGTTTCTAGTTTCAAATTTCATAATAAAAAAATGAAACGTAGATTAACTAAATGATTAGATCTTCGCTTCGCAACAGTTGATTTGAAATAACATAATGACCATTGGACATTATTTCATATCTAAATTGAAATTCGTCCTAGACGTGCTAAATTTATGGTTTTGCAAGAAAAATGTAACAAATAAAATGAGAAAAATATTTTAGGCACTAAGTAAAACTTCTATATAACTATGGGATGCCAATTGTAGTTGCAAGCAGCTTTACACCGAAGAGAAAATTGCACTATTAAAGTCCCTAACTAATTGTCTTAATAATAATCGATCATCAATAGACTATATGAAAATATCCCGCCAAAAATGACATGTTATGTATACGTAGGGGCATTTTAGTACATCACGTGACACATTACGAACACAATTTATTGCAACTAATATTTGTTCAGCATATATCTCATCAAAATATACACAATAATGTATTTGAAATTGCTACACATTTTTCAATACATAGTTTGAGACAATGTATTTTAGCATCTCGCAATAGAAGATGTAAGTTATATAATTCATTACATTTTCCAGTACTGAATAAAGGCTTAGTTTGTACTAAAGAGCTCAATCAAACCACCAGCAACTGGAATTAGAACTTGGGTTCCAACAGGTTCATATGATCGAAGTACGCACACTGATTCAAATTCAGAAGACAATAATTTGTCGAAAAAAATGTGTTTCAACCCAAAATTCATCAGTACTGTTGCTTCATGAAGGCATGTCGTTGAACAGACAATCTGGTAAAGGCTCAAAGTCTACAATCTAGGTATAATGTCACAATAGTTTAATTTCTGTTTTTCTTTTGAAAAATTTAGAAAGCCCACAATCCAGCTCAACTAGAGAGGATTAAATCATTGCTCGAGAACAATGATCCAAGGTTAATGCCAATCAATGAGTTGGCACAATTTTGTAATTTTTATCTCTAAAGTCTTAAATCCTATTTAGCTCAGCAATAAAAGAAACGAAAGCAGATTAAAAAATACATGGAGTCATAACAGTCGAGGGGATTAGCGGTAAATCTTTATACCGGAAAAAAAATTACTGAGCCAGAAATGCAAACCGAGATACTCACGGCTAAACTAGTCTAAATAGAGGCATGTGCAAGGTTCAGCCATTTTGGTAGTTTCAATATCACTACCTCGCCATGAATCCTGATTTTAGCTTAAACCTTAGATAGTAGAAAAATCTGCTTGGTTCTGTAACAAAATTATGCCCAAAAATCATAGTAAATCAAGAAAACAAATTTATACATTACATGAATATTCACAGAGAAATAAAATTACCCATAATACAATCCTATGGAAGGAGATTGAGCAAGAGCCCTGCAAGACTTTGTTCTAACAGGATGCTCAGTTCTTGTATCTTTGCATTCAATAATCAAATGGTTTTTTGCACCAATTTCTGTTTCATTTCGAAGTGTTCACAATTTCCTCCACTGCAACAAGAAGCATCCACTGCAACAAGAAGCAGCCCATTCCACAAATAAACCTGGAAAATCAATCAAGAAATTCAAAGGGTCGGAAAAAAAAAAAGACAATTTCTTGAAAATAAGTGATTATAATTATTGAAAGGTCATTGACTTTCCAAATGATACAGTAGTCCCATGCCATAAGCCACTCAACAGCTGTCCGTAAATCTGCCATATAAGTTCGCACACTTCTATGTTTCTTTATGGGCTTTGTCATTCTTACAAAAATCTGTTGATATAAAAAGCATTTATGGACGACAAGTCTTACAGAATTTACAAAATGCAGTGTGTCCTTTTAACCAGAATAAAATCTGTCAGAATAATTAGATACTCTTCTCCCTCCCAAAACACGAGCTGAACTGGTCGGTTGGATTCAACTCGAAATCTCATTTAAACCGGACCACACATACAGAATGATGAGAGTGTAAAGACATGGAGATCAGAATAAAGTTACCCTTACTGCTTGAACAGTCAGGCCATCGAGGTTTTGTTCTCTGTCTGATTGCTTTATTGAACTCTTTACTCCAATTTTGCTTTTCGAAGGGAAAATCTATAATATATTTTACTAGCATTTATGTCTATAGTGCCACTTAAACTTTAAAGAAGTACAAAAATATTAACTTCGTTAATACTAATTTTAGTACTGCCATTCTGCACAGTAGGGTAATGAAAATCTTTGATAGCTCAAACAAAAAAGGGGTTGAATAGGAACTTCCACGACGAAATAATTTCCATATATGAGTTCACATACGAACCAGCATTCCTCTCTCCAGCTAGATACAATATATTGTAGCTCTATGGATAAACGTGAGAATAAAGCCTTTGAGATCATTGCCTTGACCCTCACCAATCATCCATTTAACCAGATGTGCCAAGAAAATGTGAAAAAAAGAAAGAAAGAAAGAGTGAAGTAGGCTTTAAATCTGAATACCCAAAAAGGATTTAAGGTCTCTTTTCTTAAACCATAATTTGTTTATATGCAAACCACTTCACATGATGCAATGAATCCAAAAACGATTCTTCTTAACTGATTGAGAGATAATATTGAGATACCGTCTTGACACTATGGACAATGATCTTTCAGATGCATTTGCAAGTGTGCCACAGCAAGAGATAGTTGGTTGGTGTCTACTTCACAAGCCTTTGTCTGTTCTGTAACCTCCCTTTTCTCATGCTTTCACGAGGCTGTAAAAAGAGAGAAGGTGTTGGTATTTCAACAACGTGTTTGTTCGATTTTGAGAAATTTAAATGGATTTCAGAAAATAGAAACAAGAACACAAAGAATTTTTCACCCATAAAGGGTCCGGATGTTCGGTTACAAAACCTACTCACCCGTTGAGCATCGACTGCGCGATTAAGCTCTAGATCCACTAAATCACAAAGAAACGTACAAATGTATGAAGAAATTACAGATTTCTTCAATTTCCTTCTAGCCTCTCTATTTGAAATATGGTAACACTAAACCTTACACAAAGATTTTGTATACAGCTCTAAACACTAATTGCAGAGAAATCATCACGAAGATGAATAGTTACCAATTTGAAAGAACCCTAGTTCATACACACAGATAGAACATTCGAGAGAGAAAGAAAGAACTGCACAGCCGAAGGATGAAGAGCCCAGAGTTTAAATACTCAAGACCAATCGCCACAGATCAAGGGCAGCCAAGAAGCCACGCGTACGGCAGATGGCTTACTTGAGGGAGGCCAAAAACGTTATTTGCAAAAGACACGTTTTTGGTAATGGGCCGGGTACTAAACCAATCAGATAGGCCCAATTCTTTAGAAATAGCGAGGCAGCCCAAATAATAACAGAAGGGGTAGTGTCCAGCGATCTTGTGCCTAGCTTCATTAACTCATATATCACTGAAGTACTTATTTAGCCTCTTAAGTTCCCCCGTCAAAAGTTTATGGAAAACCTTGAATTGTGCAATCCACTTAACTCCAGAATATCAAACCTTAACAAAATATCCAAGAAACCTATCATTGTTAATCAAGACATTGAGGAACATGAAAAGCTTCTAGAGTTTGAGATCATTTGGTATATCATGAATAATGATGTGACCACAGCCAGATATCCCAGGTGATCTGAATTCAGCTCACAGAAAGAAAAAGTATCAAGCAGTAGTCATTAACCATGTTTCATGCCTAAAGATCACAGCATTGCATCACCATACAACATGCTGGATAACTAAAAAATCATGGTGCATGATCAACAATGATCTTTCACAATGATTAACGAATGATTATCTGGTCAGTCATTCCTCTCTTCTCGTGAACATTGAATATCTTCCCCTCTTCACTAGTATCAATTTTGGCCGGAAAAAAAAAATGAAAAATGAAAAAAAAAAAAGAGAGAACTTGTGCAACTGGGCAGCTTCCACCCGGTTTGTCATCACTTTATCCTTTCCTTCTCTGTTCTCAAAGCTAGAGCACTGATCTTAATTGTGTCCATGGACTTCACAATTGAGACAATGATACTCCACTTATATTTCAGCAGGCAACTCATCCTCCAAGTCAAGATCAAGGCAATCAACTAGAGGTTTGTCGGCAATCAACTAGAGGTTTGTCAGCACTAACTTCCACACAGGCGCAAGGCGAACTATGCAAATTCTTTGTCAGAGCATTGACATATAATGGTTTCCCAACTCCATTCACAAGATAACACTACCCTCCACTGACGTACAAGAAATCGGTATTTGTATATTGAAGGACCTCAATGAGACCCTGTGAGTGACACTTTTCCAATCTCTTTTGTTTAAGCACATTTTAGTAGTACGTCAGATTTACATTGAACAAAGAAAACGAAATTATTCCATCAAATTATGTTGAGGATCCCCTTTTCAGGTCACTTGACACACCTGCAAACATGGATTACGGTTGGATATCGCCCAAATTTGTCATTATTCATCCATGCAAATTTGTTCCTGAAAATGCAGAAAATCAGAATCAGGTTTTGCTTCTTCAATAAACAATTTAATTGATGAAAATTACATTTTATTTTGCAATGACAGGCCTGTATGTATTCAAGCATCACCTGCTATGATTTCAGGAAGCGGAGATTTCACTGGGTTCTTCTTGATTACTTGTTTAAACTTTTTTAAGAAGATCATCAGGCACTGCTGGTTTCAAAATCTTCACTACCCATTCTTCCACTCCTTGGACCCTAGTGGTTGTGAACAACTGCTGTATCTCATTGAAGAACTCAAAATGACTCGATCCCTCTATGAACATTGCTTTTGAATCTGGAATAACAAAAAGCATAGTTGCCTGGATTACATTTGATATGAACTCTGATAGTTTCTTAGGGCTAAACTACTCATCTGGAGGTACATATATGTCTATGTTGAATGATTCAGGTTGGCTCTCAGTTCTAAAATCTAAATATTTTTAAAAACCATATCAATGTCATTCCTATAGATAAATTCATCATAGAAAAGTTAAAAATTTTGAGAAAATCAATTACCATGGTTGCTGGAGGGTGATCAGTTCTTAATATACGATGACATGGACATGACTGAGAACCACCTGTAACAGGTCTCATATACTCCAGGCCTTTGTCAGGATTGCCAATGTCATTGCAGTAGCCATAATCGTAGACTAAGAAGCACCGACACGGACACGAGTGTCCGAAACGATATGTGTCGGACACGCCGGCACGTGATTTTTTTAAAAAGTTCCGACACGACACGTCGCCGACACGTTGATTAAAAAAAAATTTGTTTATTTTAATTTTGTAGACTAAAGTATTAATTTTTTGTATTTATTTAATCATATATATAATGATAAATAGAAATCAAACTTGACATTAAATTCATCAATGTTTCTTAATGACATAAGTTCAAAAAGTAAAAATGAAATTAATTACATCATTCATCTTGAATCTCTTCAACATCTTCATCTCTATCAGCAAATACCATCGCCTCCAATTCCGGTTCATCTAGAGATAAATTAGTGACTTCAAGCACACCAATATCTTCAAATGTATCAAATGCATCTCCACCGATATCCCACATTTTAGTCTCTCCTTGTGAGTATTGCGCACTCCTCCTTGACAAGAGACGAAGATTGCTATGGACGAAAACCAAATCTTCCGCACGTTTTGGAGTTAGCTTATTTCGTTTAAGAAAGTGCAAAAAGGAATAAGTACTCCAATTTCACTCACAACATGATGGAGAAGATGGTTGCCCCAATAATTTCAAAGCATAACTTTGAAGCATAGGTGTGCAAGCACCACAAATAACCCACCGAGTCTTTGGGTCCAAGCAGTAATGATCATGGATGGATTCAAAATCACCAAAGTCATCTTCCATAGTTGAGAATTTGGCATACTCCTTATTCACCATAATACGCTCTTCATTTGACAAGTACATCTTAAAGCATTTTATTCTTTCTCTTGAAATCTCTACATCTCTATGTGGAGCAAGTTGAGTGGGATCCTCATTAAGCCATTCCTCGCTATAGTGCCTAAACAAGAGGAAAAAAAAATAAAAAAATGACAATTCATTCAATAACTAACTAAACATATTAAATATTATGATAATGTAAATAAACATTAAATGTATGAATTAAATTTAAAAATTACCTTAGATTTAGAGAATGAGACAAGCAATGAAGTGGAGTGTTATTTTTGTTCCAACGATCTACAAGTATCCGATGAACAACATTGTAGAATGATGATTCCTCTTCTTGAACTTTTTTCTCATTCCCTGTAAATTATTCCTCTCACTTTCTCAATCATTGTATCCCACATGTCGTAAACCAAGTGAAGGTAAGGTTTATCCGTATCACAAAATCTAAGCATGTCATAAATGGGAGAAGTGAAGGAAAGAACATAACTTATAGAGTCCCACCAAAGATCATCAAACACTTTCAATTTTACAAAACTTGCCTTCGTCATGTCATCTTCTCGATAAAGTGACCATTTTTCACTAATAACCAAAGCTTGAAGACCACGTCGAATAAGCTTAAATCTTTTTAACATGACAATAATAGAAGCAAATCGTGTCTCCGCTACGGAAAGCAACTTCAAAGGCACAAATTCATTAAACATTGCTAGTCTCATGGAATGGTTCATGATAAAAAATTTATAATCATTACATCATCATGAAGATTAGTAATCCAATTGCATTCTTCATATGTAATCAAATTATTTTCAACATTCTTTGCGGCACAAATGTTCTTCAAAGCAAGATTTAGTGTGTGTACAACACATGGTGTCCAAAAAATATGAAGATACTCCAATTCAATTATTTGTCCAGCACCTTTGCAATTTGGAGCATTATCGGTTATTACTTGAACCACCTTTTGATGACCAATTTCATTTATAACCTCCTTCATCAAGTTAGCAATAAAATATTTATCTTTTGTTTCACCGGAACAATCAACCGCTTTTAAAAACATTGGTCCACTCTCGGTCACCGCCATAAAATTAATTAGTGGCCTTCTTTGTGGATCACTCCATCCATCACTCACAATCGTAACTCCTTTTTCTGCTCATGTGCCTTTAATTGGATCTAATAATCTTTCCACATTTTTTTTCTCTTTTTGAAGAAGAGTAGTTCTCAACTTGTTGTAACCGGGAGGCAAATATCCCGAAATCCGACTATTGGAAGCAAGAGTATAAGAACTAATGTAATAAGGATTTCTTGCAAGAGTAAAAGGCAAACCACTTGAATAAAACATTCTAGCAATTTCGGAATCCAATTGGTCACGTATTGTTACATTAAAAGCATTTTCTATTGCACTATTCTTTCTTTTCCTTTCCTCCAAAACATAACAATCCTTAGAACCCATATTATTCGATGGCAATGGCACTCTTTTCCCCGCCTTAGTTTGCATTCTCAACTTGGCTTCATCTTCCATTTTTTGCATTTCACATATATCTTTCATAGTTACTTTTCCACAAGCCCCAATTCCATAGCGTTGTAATTTGAACAAATGTGCCTTCACTCTTGTGTAAGAACTTGTCTTAGTTGCATTACAAAAATTACATTGCCAAAGAATGTTATCATCCTTTTCATTAAATTTATCAAGTTTTGTAACATATTTTCAAAGAGGTTTAGACAAATCATCATCCATAACATTATCACTCATAACTTCAAAAGAAAAATAATTTCAAATGCTTAAGTAAAATAGGAGTGATATTACCCGAAACTTGAAAAAATATCTTCTTCTTCTTGATCTTGCAAATGATTCTTCAAATGTGGATTGATGAAATTTTTGAAAAAGATAAAATAACAAAAAAAACTTGGATGTTTTGAAATTTTCTTACAATTTTCGCAAGTTACTGACTGAGGAAGAAAATGTATGTGTTGTTATATAAGTTTGATTTGTTGTTGAAGGGTAAAATGGTACAAACAAAGTATTGTACATTATTTTATAAAGAGTTACAGCCATTGAAAAGATACAAAACGTGTACAAAAAGAGAAAATTTACAATGGTGGGCCCACAAATTGAAATTTGCATTGGTAAATCATGACTTTTCATTTCAGCCGTCTCTTCATCTTCTCTTCTCTCTTTTTTTCTGTCTTTGTCTGACAATCAACAGCTACAGGTTCTTCTTCTTCCTCTTCTTCTTCTTCTTCTTCTTCTTTCTTTCCATGGTTTCTTTTTTTCGGCCCACCAAAGCCACACATGACTCCGTGACTCTGACACACGTCGACGACGTGTCGGACACGTATCGGTGTCCGACTCGTGTCGGACACCGGTACGTCGTCGCCGGGAGCGTGTCGGTGCTTCCTAGGTCGTAGATTTGGTCCCATTCTTTTCTTCTCCCCTTTCCATCTCCTCTCAATCTAACTAGTTTTTCTATACTGAGTTCAACCAAACCATCTGGCATCTGGCTTGGTAGATAACAATATGCATGAAAAAATGCTAAGCTCTGTGATTCCATTCCAGGAACAGAACGAACTCAAGCCACTTTTCCACATTGGCCTTTGACCAAGTAATACAATTTAAAAAAAAATGATTTGGAAACAAAAACTCGAAAATACCTCCAAACACAAGAAAACGATTTTTAACAGTTGCTCCCAGTCTCTCACCATCGATCTCTCACGGTCGAGGCACAAAAATCGGCACCACACAACCACCCAGTCACCGTCGACACCACACACCAACCGGCATTTAGTTTAGCTTTTGAAATGAATATTAAATGGATTTGTTCATGAAATGTGAATTTGAATTTGTATTCGAAAATGGACATTTATTTATATTTATAGGTAGAGATGCTTGATTAGATTAGATTGTGGAAGATGATTTGGGGTTTAGGGCCATATTTGAGAGCTCAATCGCCAAAAATGACGATTTTCAGAGCCATTTTCGATGAATTGAAAGAGACGACTATGAAGGCATCTCTAAACAGTCGGTCGACTATTAAACAATCGTTGGGCCGACTGTTAACGACTGTGACAGTCTTTGGGCCGACTGTTTAACAGTCGACCGAAGACTGTTTACACAGTAGCTGTAAACATTTGTCCCAACAGTCGACTGGGCTGACTGTTTGTAGGCCGAAATTTTTTTTTCTTTTTCATTTTATTAATTAAGAAATATTAAAAAAAATTTAATTGAAAATTAACAAATAAAATAAATTATTTATTTAGTTTTTTATGCATAAAATTTATTTGACTTACAAAATTTTCAAATTAATATTTAATTTTTCAATTTAATTGAATAATATTTAGATTATTTATATATAATTTTCATTTGTTAATTTTAATTTTAAATATTATTATTATTATTATTATTATTTTGGTAATAGGGTAAAAAATTTTCTTAATTTTTTTATTCTTATTATATAATTTACTTATTTTCAATTTAAAAGACATTTTAATATTTTTTTTCTTTATTTTTATAGTTTTTTTTATTTTCTTGAAATCATTTTGTTTAATTTAATTTATATTTGTTAATTTGTATGTGTTTCTTTTGTTTTTCTTTAATTATTTATTTTTGTCATTTTTCTAAATCATTTATTAGCATTGGTATTAGATGAATTTATATTTTAACAATTTGGTTCGATTAATATTCCATTATTATGTTTTATTCCATTCTCTACTGTACAATGTTCTAAGATTAGAATTTTTGCAGGATGGATTATCATCTACACGCAAAAATGAGGCAGAAGCTGGGGAAAGTTATATGGAACAGTATAACTTTGACATTTTTACTACAGTACTGGAGCTACTGGATGATCAGCACGGGGATATCTTACGTCAGTCCTTCCTTTGGCCCCTGTATCAGTTGAGGGAAGTGCAATACTCAGGGCAGATCATCGACACATTGTTATGTCGGTTGTTGAGTTCAGTCGATGGCGATGTCCTCCACTTCGACTTTGGGAGCAAGATCGCCAGTTTCTCTATGTTTGAGTTTGCCCTAATCACTGGACTGAAGATTACGGGTGATGAGACAGCTCGTAATAGTACTCAGAGAGGCAACAGGCTACATGACACTTACTTCCAGGGACAGGGGATAGTACTTTCTACCGTAGCTGATCGAAGCGACGAGAGGGTGTGACCAGATGTTAGACAGATTAAAGTTAGGTATGGTATGAATCCTTGAGACCGTGGTGCGGTGTCACTACAAGAACACTGCGATCGACCTTTTAAGATCGTTGACGACATCAATGGCTTCAACAACTTTTCATGGGGCTGGAAATGTTTCAAGGACACCGTATATGTCTTTGTGCTCAATCAAAATCTTCGCGCTCATCATCGGGGACATTCTTCTTCACCAAGGTTGCATAAATAGGAATCGAACATTTCTAGTTCAATTCAATTAAAATCTGCACTTCAACTTCAGAAGTAACCATTACATGTGGAATTTTCTTACCGAATAGAAATTCCAATCCATGTCGTATTGTGAAGGATCGACTTTGAGCAAGTTCTATAACTCATTGTACATTTCTGCATACAATATACTTGATGTTATCAAAATTGCAATAGAACCACATTTTTCACTCGTCAATTTCCACACCCATCGATCATTTTTCATCATTTCAAATTCACCAAAGTAATAAATCGGGACTGCAGCCGATGCTATGTCTGCATTAGAAAACGAGGAGTTATTAAAAAAATTGTAAATACATGGAAAAAAGAAGTAAAAAATTGGAAACAGCCGACATCTGTTTGGTTTTTCGATTTTGCAGATGAATTTTTTTCATCGTTCTTGCTAAAAAAATTATAAATCCATTTAAGACTATCAAAATTTATCTGCTGAAGTCAAAATAAGATTTAAAGATTCAAACAATTTACTGATTTAGTTATAATAAAATTAAAAATACGTAAAATATACTTACCAAATTCGAGTGATGGTTGTGAATAATATTTTCTTGTTGAGTTTTTGATAATTTTGAACTTTCTTTTTATCTGTATTGCAGAAACTGATAAGGAAACTGATTTGACTTTGAAATTTACGTGGGGAGTGTGTTTTTATTTGTTATTTAGAAAGGGGTATTATTGTCTTTTTAACAATCATATGTTTTTGTGATTACAAAAAACCATTATTTACATTTCAAATGCCATTGTGGTGAATGACAAAAATGAATTGGTCAATGTGGAAAATGGTTAATTTGACTTTGCCAAACTAAAAAGTACCCCTCTCGATTCTGCTCATCATCTCCTTAACGTGGATCTTATCAGATAATCTTTGAATTATTATTTCACGTATTATGCCTAGATTGTATTTTTTTTTTTCGAATACACGTTCGTAAATGATTCAAATGATTATTTCAAAACTTATACTCAATAAATTCGGAATCTACTGTATCAATTTTTATTTATTTATTTATTTATTTATTTTTTATTTTTTAATATTGAACGCTAACCTTCAATGTGCTACAATCTTCTTAAGATTGAAATCGGTTAAGAAAGAGTTACAATTGGCTGCTACTCTAGACAAACTAACACTTGAATTTTGGGAAGATTTTTTCAAGTCTTGGAATTAATTGAGTTGACATTGATTGAATATATATTATCGCAAGGAAGTTAACTAGTTGAAGAATTATTTTTGCATCAACCTAAAAGACCAATTCATGAGAGTGATGCGATTTCAATACAACACGATAAAGAGTGAGAGATAGATCAAAAGTAAAGTGGCTCATGGTACATGCCAATCGTTTGAGGAAGGAATGATAACGCAAAAAGCAAGAGTTAATATGTTATTGTTAAAAACAAAGTTGAATGATTTCCTTGGTCGGAGTTTTATCGAAGCCTAGATGTCCATTTCATTGAGTTTTTCTTTATGCTAGGGAAGTTACATAAAGCATCAAAAGTTTATAGGCTGCTTGTGTGCTGGTGGATGTTCAGCAGCCTACTGCACATGATCCTGGATGGATACTTCGTGCTCTCTCCAGATTTTTACGAGAAGACTCCGCATTACCTAGCAGAAGCTTGAAAGTTCTTTATGTACTTTCTTCATCCATTCATCAATCTTAAGGTTAGAAGACTTAGCAATACTGTAGGCACTCTACGTTTTTTTCCGAATACACGTTCGTAAATGATTCAAATGATTATTTCAAAACTTATACTCAATAAATTCGGAATCTACTGTATCAATTTTTATTTATTTATTTATTTATTTATTTTTTATTTTTTAATATTGAACGCTAACCTTCAATGTGCTACAATCTTCTTAAGATTGAAATCGGTTAAGAAAGAGTTACAATTGGCTGCTACTCTAGACAAACTAACACTTGAATTTTGGGAAGATTTTTTCAAGTCTTGGAATTAATTGAGTTGACATTGATTGAATATATATTATCGCAAGGAAGTTAACTAGTTGAAGAATTATTTTTGCATCAACCTAAAAGACCGATTCATGAGAGTGATGCGATTTCAATACAACACGATAAAGAGTGAGAGATAGATCAAAAGTAAAGTGGCTTATGGTACATGCCAATCGTTCGAGGAAGGAATGATAACGCAAAAAGCAAGAGTTAATAAGTTATTGTTAAAAACAAAGTTGTATGATTTCCTTGGTCGGAGTTTTATCGAAGCCTAGATGTCCATTTCATTGAGTTTTTCTTTATGCTAGGGAAGTTACATAAAGCATCAAAAGTTTATAGGCTGCTTGTGTGCTGGTGGATGTTCAGCAGCCTACCGCACATTATCCTCGATGGATACTTCGTCTCTCTCCAGATTTTTACGAGAAGACTCCGCATTACCTAGCAGAAGCTTGAAAGTTCTTTATGTACTTTCTTCATCCATTCATCAATCTTAAGGTTAGAAGACTTAGCAATACTGTAGGCACTCTACGTTCTACTAAAGTGATAATTGGCTGGGAAAGGCCCCCAGGGCACATCTCCAAGTGGTAAAAGGGAAGGGTGGAGAAATCCAGCTTTGCTTGAGGCTACCGCGTCAAGGGTTCGAATCTTGAAATATGAATTTGGCTCTTGGGTAAGTGCAAGTGTATAAGCAGCCTTCCATCCTGTCCCTTTGGAGGCATAACCTGTGATTTACCTCCCTCACGATGCTCCAGGACAGGGACGGTAAGAAACCCTTAAAGTTGGGGTTCAACCTTTTTGATAATTGGCTGGGATAGAATTCAGCAAAAGCGATTCAAGGTATGCCAGACGGGATCTAAGTTTCGTTGCTGTTGTTTTTGGGCGGGGGCGCTCTCTGGTTGAAGCGTTTGTTGTTACAAAAGCTGTTGGGCATGACACGAGTTGATGATAATCAAGGTAACGATGACTTTCTTTTATGCACGTAAGGCACAAAAAGTCAAAACGCCATAATATTGAAGTCTGAAAGGTCTGTGTACATTAACGATGCCTATGGTAATCTTGTTACTCAAAATCAAGCAAGTTTTAACAGACCAAAGCAAAGCAATAACTGTTTCAGTGCTGCAGAGAAGATGAGACTCAAAACAGTAACTGTTCGAATATTAACCCAATACAATTATTGCAACAAGATACAGAATCGTAAGTGCATGAAAATATAGTTGGAGAAAGGAAAATGAAAATGAAACTATTGTTGCCAACTTAAGTTATTTTACAGTCACGAAACACAAGAAAGGTCACTGCCGCCCCCATCTTACCACCCATATTTTGCTTGTGTTTGTGCTTTAGTAAGAAAACCTTTGGAACGTCGCTCTGCAAGCTCCATCTCTTTCTGTCTCAGATCGTATAGTAAGGAACCAATTTGATGCTTTCTTTTATGCAGCTTTGTAGGCTTACCCTTGGTTGAAGCAGGCTACAAGAAGGCAAAATGCAGATAATTGAGATGTATTCTTTAAGCCAGTCATTAAACTCGAAAGGAAAGATACAATAATACACATGATAATTAGAAGTTACCTCTATGTTCGAGTCAGAGTTTCATTCAAAGGAAAAGGTATAATTTATCCGAAAGAAAAGAAAACAAATACGAGTATCCAAAAGCAAAATAATTTCTTAAGCTATAGTTTATTAGTCATATGTATGATTCAACTTCAATGCTGAATATTCATGTTGTCCATATAACGTCTTTAGTACTGGCTTCTTATCAGGCACTGTTGAGTACCTTGAAAAAGATCGACCACAATATTTATTTCTGACTGCCTATGCCTCTAGCAATGCTTCAGGCGAACTATAACTAGGGTGCCCTACTCCTACCTGAAAGATGTTCTACTAGAAATATTCTTGTTATTGCTTCAACTCATATTCCCCAAAAAATGGATCCCGCTCTAATATTTCATAGTAGTCTCATTAGAACGTACATCTTTCTTGGTATATCCAGATAACTGCGATCTTTTTCTTATTCTATGATGCATAGTTATTTAGAACACGAATCCCTGTCCACCTACAGGGGGGAAGAAAGAAGGAAAACTGAAGCAGGCCAAAAAATAAAATGAAGAAATTTACTTAAATCCATGCCAAAGATGTAGTTTCTAGGAGAGAAATGAGGAGGAAAGGCAATTTCTCTATGGAGGCAAATATCGATGGAACTGGAGAAGTTTCATGTTTACAGCTCAAATCCTAACTTTAAACCCATACTAGCAAACAGTGCAAACCTTGTCTACCGAGAATGCAATCCAAGACAAAAGACCAAGAAAAAAAAGCCTAGAAGTTGAACATCTTTTAAGCCAAGAGATTATAGCAAGAACCAAGTCACCAACTTAACTAGAATATTGTATAATGAACACACTGCATTAACTTATGGCTAGAAACTACAATTCTCAGTATCTCCGTAAATACTATTCAGGGACATATTGGTTACCTAGATCAATATTATTACAATAAAAGTAAGATTTTAGCCTGTTCCTCAACAAAAACTATGGCTTGTAGGAAAATAGCTCCTGTCCAGGATATTGTTTCCCTCGAAGAATCTTCGACTTAGAATGTATCAAATCTTAATCTTGTTCACTAGCACTCCTGACCGCATCAGCAGGCCTCAAAGCTAACTACTCTCTAACGTGATGTTGAGACAAGGTATGAAAAGTAGGAAAATTTTTAATATTTCTTTAGGAAAATATTTAAAGACCAAATGAACCCAGAAACAACAGTTGTTTATAATGAAATTTAGGCAGCCATTAACAAATAACTGGACAAACCAGAAGCTAGTGAAAATGGGATGACATAATCAGAAATTGTCAATTTATATTATGGGAAATCAGATTGTTAAAATGGGATTTTCCACCAATATACGGTCCTGCTGCTGACGAAGATATCGTCCATGACTTAAAACCCCACTTTCTCGGTCTAAGTTCTGCTAGAGATCACTTAAGCAATAATGACCAATATGCAATTCTCTGATGTTCACCCAGTGTCTGATACAACTAAAACACATTCCACTACTGGCGAAGATCTTGTTGTTCATGATGTATGCTTATGTCCTGTTGTAATATTTTCAATGGAGTATAAATACCAGCAACAGAGTATTGGAGGATATATAGTGTCATTCCATATAAAATTGTTCAATGGAACGAAAAAGGACTGAAGACTGGAGATGAAGCAAATATAGTACTAGAATAAAGTTTTTTAAATCATTTGTATTACGTGGTAAGATATGAAACTGAACTTAACGTGGTAAGATATGAAACTGAACTTAACGTCCAACAACATGATCCATATAAACTCGTCTACACATTGAACACACTTTCACCCTCTTTCCCACTAGGTAAGGTCATTGGAAGCACAACAGGCATCATATTAATAAGTATTCTAATGTTTCTGAATACATAGTTTCTCCAAAAAGTACTTCTGGTATTTGGACTGATGAATTTCCTGAAGCCTTCGTGTGACTACCAAGGATTAAGTATACAAACTCTATCTAAATCCACTTAACACAAACATATCAAGAGTCAAACAAATAGTATTATAACGTATCAACTCTGTTTAAAAAGGTTGAATCAGGTGTAGGGGCGATTAGCTTCCTTTGGGGCAAGACGCAAGCCTCAAGGAGGGTATACCTTGTCTATCTTGAGGCATATACCTTGATACACGGGCTATAGTAAGTCAAGGCCACAAAGAATAAGCCTCAGATGTAAGCCTCTAGTGCTTTGAGGCTAGGCTTTGAGACTCCTAGCCTCAAATGTATGCCTCTAGTGCTCCTAAAACACTGTATATGCACTAGAAAGCACACAACATAGACAACTCTCTAACAAATTTTATGAGAACAAAAAAAGTATCTTGAACAGTGCCTTTTGCTTTAGGAATCTCAAACAATATCAATATTTATGGTGTTCCAAATGTTTCACAAATTAATAAGCATCAACGCACAATAATTGCAAATTTTAGAAACTTAACTTCTAAATTTCTAAAGATACTTAGGAGAACAAAAACCATACCTTGTATGCAGGGCCGAAAGCAATCCCAGTTAATTTGGCTTGGTCTTCCCTCGGCCGATTTTTCAACAACTCATCCTGCTTCACCTCAACAATCTGCTCTGGAGCATCATTCCTACCCCTCTTGCCAGGCACTTGAAACCCACTTTCAGCCAATCCTGATCCCTCGCCCACTGCAGTTGAACCGGATCCATCAATCCAGTTACTCTCATACTGTCCATGATCCCCATAACCCGCACCATAATTTGCATAATCCCCAGTTTGCCCATTCCAATTCGAATAATGAACACCTTCACCAGTTCCAACACTATCATGATAACCAGCACCGTAGCCATCATAATTTGCATAGCTGTCACCCCCGGAATTCCAATTAGAATGATCATAACTCAACGATGACCCATCACCAGACTGATTTTCTGAATATCCTATACTGGATTTCACATCCGCATCACTTCCCATGGTACCAACGCTATTTAAATTTGATGCTGAACCATCAGTTTCAAGCATAGATCTCCTACCAGTACCCGAAGCTGAATGTAAAGAACCCAATGTAGTCGAGTTCTTGGGTGCAGGAATACTTGATAAAAATGACTTCACAGATGAAGTAGAAACAGACTCTTTTGACATTTTTCTTTGTTTTTCTTTCTCGTCCTCATCAGAATCCTCCTCATCATCCTTAGATTTATTCGAAATAGGATTCACAATTGGCGGAGGCCTAAATTTAACAACCCTTTTCGAACTAGAATCAAACGAAGCAGTTGAAGTCATATTTGGGAGGATTTGAGGGGCTTCTAAGATACCAGATTTTGGTGGCGGAAGTGAAGAAAATAGAGAAGAAGAAAATGACGACGATGACGATTTGGGTTGAGGAAGCGAAGAAAACAAAGAAGTAGAAGACGATTTAGGGTTCCTACTTTCTGGGATTTCATCTAGTTCCTCTCGTTTAAATTGCGGTTGGGGTATTGGCACAGAGGGTTCCTTGAAATCAGATGGGGTCTGTGCGAGGTGGGATTTGGGAGGAGGTAGTGAATTAAAGAGAGACGATTTCGGAGGTGGGAGGGAATCGGAGATTTTCCTGGATGGTTTTGATAAAAAATCATTTTCTCCATCTTCTACCTTCATTTTTTGAAGATCCACAGATTTTCCTGGTAGTTTTGGCTTCTGCTGTTGCTGATTTTCCTGTTCTTGATCCTCATCTGAGGACGCGTAATTCGCTAGCAAAGAATCCATCAAAGAGATAATTAACTGAAATCCCTAATACAGAAGCAGAAACAAGAGATAGAGCTCGAAGTATAGTATTAATGTTTGTGTGAGTTCTGTAATAACCAGAAAAGTAGCGACAGTGAATCCGCTTGTTCACGATGATATCCGGCGGGGCTGCGAAGTGTAATTTATATTTCAGTCAGAGGGCATATTCGGTACCCGAAAATTTAGAGCCCAACGTTATATGGTTAGCTCTGGGCCAACCCCTATTAATGTTATGGGCCAGGACCGTATTACATTCTAAGGCTATAGGCCAGCCCTAGAAATTGGTAGCCTGTGGCCCACATAGAAAAAGGTTATTACCCTTTGTCGAAAGACCAATATTTTTGTATTTTCCAAAAATTTATTAAAATATTATTGATTTTTTAAGACCGTATGCCAATTTTTTATTCGAGCCTCGTTTGCCCCCGTTTGATGGCCATTATTTGATTAATACAAAATGTTCTTATCTTTTCAATGGTATCGTGCAAAACGTTCATAACTTTAATTTTTTAGTATTTTCACTCCTAGTTTTTACATTTTCATTGCAGAAAAATGTCATTTTTATTTAATTTCTCAATAAAAAATATAAATATATCCTTTTATTTAAATAAAACAAAAAGAAAATAAAAGAAAAATAAGAAATAAATTGTAATTATACTTCTAAACTTTTTTTAAAAGGCAAATGAGTCTAAATAAATTATTAAAAGTGTAATTAACACAAAACATTTTTATCTTTCAATATTATTGTGCAAAATGTATCTACCTTCCTTTTTTTGGTATTTTCACCTTTATTTTCGCATTTTATTGTGAAAATCATCATTTTCATACAACTTTTTCAATTAAAAGCTATAAAATGATGAATATATCATTCTAATGAAAAGTATTAACGTTTTCCACTAATTATCCTTTTAATAATTTATTTAACTCATTTGCAGTTTTTTAAAAAGTTTGGGAGTATAATTGCGATTTGTTCCTTAATTTTTCTTTTTTTTTCTTTTATTTAAATGGAGGGTATATTTGTCATTTTATATTTTTCTATTGAAAAATTGGATGAAAATGACTTTTTTGATAATGAAATGCGAAAATAGGGATAAAAATAACAAAAAATGAAATGTGGCAACATTTTGCACAATAACATTGAAAGGTAATGAAGTTTTGTGCTAATTAATCAAAAAACTATGAATTTACGTGCAGAATATTTAACTTTGTAAATATGAATGAGTATATACAATAACGTTTTCAAATAACGATATTTAAACAAAAGCTTAATAATCCACTGAATACTGTTAGAAATAATTTGAGTCGATTTGTCTAATAATAGGAGTGTCAAGTAACAAATGTGACAAAATATTTAATATCTAATCATATTAAATCTATTGTTTAAACATGCCATAGAAGTCGGAAATGCTGAATTTGAAAATTTGATAAGCTTGTTAAATAAAAAAGACCGAAAACTAATTTCTAAGACTAAGATGTTACGCTTGAAAATATTTGAATAATTTTCTCAAAGTACTTTATCTGAGTGTAAGAGTTTTTAGATGAAGTCGATATAAAGAAAACTATTTTATAAAAAACAGAAGCAAAAGCCATAACAAAAGATTGTAAATTTGTTAGGTATAAGCTTTTGTTCGTGGAGTTGTTAGAATCATAATTTTCTACACAACGCTCAAACATACCTTAACTTCTCGAGTTAATTATTCTAATAATCATTGAACTCATGTCCATGTCTTTCATTACTCACTAAAGTTTAAAATGTCAAAATTTGACCACTGTACTTATCAAAACGCTGAACGTTACTCACTGACTTAAATTTCATTTAGAACCTTTAAAAGAAGTGATGACGTGACTAATAAAATGTCCAGATGACGCCACTTCACCGTTACCACGTAAAAAAGCGTCTTTCATTACTCATTAGCCTTTAAAATATATCTTTGATTACTCACAATACTTTGAAAAATATTTTTGATTGCTTACTGAATTTTGAATGTAATCGAATTTTGACCACTAGGCTTCTGAAAATGAAGTCGACTAAAGTTCTCAAGTATGACGAGCAATTGGAGACCTTTTTCACATTATAGTGAGAAATAAAAAACATTTACTAAAATATAGTGAACAATGAAAGACCCTTTTTTATGTGGAAACCGCGATGTGGCGCCACCTGGACATTGTGTCAACCATGTACCACTTCGTTAAAGGTTATAAATTGAAGTTAAGTTAGTGAATAACGTCCAACAATTGGATGACTTCAGTGCCGAGGACATTCTAAATTTCAGTAAGCAAAGACATAGGTTCTTCTCGTACAAATAGCTGATACGAAACTACCAAGGTGACTAATCACTCTAGATTAACAAACTTCGGCAAATAACCAACAATATGATTCAATGATAAAAGGAATACACAGCAGTGGAAATATAAACAGCCAGAGCAGAGGTCATCAGAACCGCCAGTGCAGCCACCGCGTGCACTGCGGACTTACTCCCACAAGATAGCATCCCCAATCTAATCTGGATCACATTTACCATTGACAGCATCAAAAACAAGCACCCCATCACAGAACCAACGGCGGAGGTCAACATTCCAAACCTCAACACCTTTATATTTATATGGGCCCTGAAGATCTCATCCACATCCTTGCTATTTAACAAATTAATGGCCAATTTAAGGCCTTGGGCCACTAGAGAGGAAAACAGAAAGAAGCTGAAAGAAACCACCTCGAAAATCAGGAGTTTCTCAGCCACGTCGATGCCGGCATCGCAGGCAGATGGGTTTTCGAGGCTGTGCTGGCCGGGAGTAGTCAAGGAGAGACCAACAAAGACTGCTATTGTAAAGAGGGAATTAACATTTACCAGGCCGTCTAGGGCGGTGACATGGACGCTGGTGGTGGTGGTGGATGGGAAAGATTCGGATCTGTAAAATTAAGAAAAATGAAATCCCGTCAAAGTCTTGAATTAATATACACACAGAAATTTATATACTCGAAGAGGGACTTTACCGAGACATATTTAGCTTTTCTTGGCTGTGAAATTGGTGTTTTCAGCTAGAAATTTTGCTGTTTTTGGTGGGTTTATTTCTCCACATCGAAATATCGAAGTGGAGAAGGAAAAGTAAGAGAAAGGAAGAGGCAAAAGATGTGCTTTGCTTTTGGGGTTTTGGATTCTTGCTGTCGGGGACCATACGAAGGAAATAACGTTCAATCAACTGCTGGGACTTAGATTCAATGGAAAATTGCACCGTAAGTCTCCACCTTATGATGTACTTTGCAAGTCGGTCTCCATTTCATTTTAACATCCGTTTGGCAAGAATTTATGGACGGTTTAATTTATAACCCTATGTATTGTAATCAATTTTTTTTTATTAGAAATGGGAGAAAGATAATTGGATTGTTCATACTTGTAGAACATTAAAATTTGTGGTTGAAAATAAAGTTTGATTAATTTCTAATGATTTATAAACTTGCTGAATGGAGGTTTAGTTGACGACTGATGTAGTCACTTTTGAAAACCTCCCGAGGTGATTTTGCCAAGGACTCACAGGGTTTTGCTCATCATATATTGGGGCACATAGTCCTCGGGGTGACATAGTCTTCGAGGTAATTCACCCGAGGAGTGGCGACTTGCATCATCGTGATCTGGTCGGTGGTGTCCTCGGGCATAAGTCCTCAAGCATCCTTTTGATATACGGGGTTCATGAGTCCTCAAGCTATTCCCTTCATACCGAACCCCCCTTTTGTCAAGCCCATAAAAAATCTTACCTTCTACGGACTCTAATATAATTTAAACACCTCAACCCAGGACTCCTACGTCCACAAGAATTCTATGTCAACAATAGTGTCATTGGTCATGCAATTATATTACAAATAAAATACTCGTATCAAGTAGGACTCTATTGGATAAAAACATCCAACTAATTCAATCCTACTAAAAGTATACTATCTACCTCTATAAATACATGACCCAAGTCCATTATTCAGGTACGCTTTTACATACAATTTCAGTATACGTTCTCATATAAATTCTTTGTCTGACTTAAGCATCGAAGGGGCGACGAGAACACACCTCGTTGCCTTTGTTTCAGGTACTAGAAGGCTCTGTTCGTGCTCTTTTTCAGTCCTGAAGTTCCGGAGGTCTACTAGGTACATTTTTTGGTAGCATCATTGGCGCCGTCTGTGGGAAACGCTACCAAAAGCCATGGTGAACACACGTTCAGGTCTTCCTCTAGCAAGCTCATCCGTTCCAGATCCTCATCCTCCTCCTGAAGGTCATCATGTCCCTCAAGAAGAATCATCAGAGATGCCAGCACCTCTCCCGACGGTCGTCACAACCGAAGCCTTTGAAGAGCTCCATCAGCAGGTGGCCACACTCACGCAACTGTTAAGTCAAAGAAATTCACATCCGTCACCAGCGCAGGCAGAGCATGGTGGTTTTATAGCTGATGCTCGAGCCCGACCACCAAACCTTGCAATTAGCGGAGTGGGAACCTCAGGAATTCGCAATATGGCCTCGGGCTCGAGTTCGGTCGCCGTGGATTCCAGTGAGATTGCCCGAATCATTCAAGAAGGAATTATAGATGTCCTACAGAGGAATGCTTGGGGGTCAACGGGTTTTATCCCTAACACCCCGTTCACTCCTGAGGTATTATCATTCTCCATACCGGACAGATTTAAGTACCCCGTATAAAAGAATATGATGGAACTACCGACCCTATCAACCATCTTAATATCTATACCGACGTCATGAACTTGCAAGTTGCCCCAGACCAGGTGATGTGCAAAGCTTTTCCTCAAACGTTGACCCACGCAGCCAGGGACTGGTTCTCAACCTTAGAGCCCAATTCTATAGCCTCTTTCTCAGATCTGGCCGATAAGTTCTCTACCTTCTTTGCCAGCAGTAAGCGCATCAGAAAGATAGCGACTTCCCTCATGCAACTTGGTCAAGGATAGAATGAAACCCTACATGACTTCATGAAGAGGTTTAATAAATAAAGACTTCAGATCCCTGATCTCCATATCACAGTAGCAATTTTCGCCCTCACCCATGCTATAAGATGTGAAGCATTCGAGATGAGTTTGTCAAAAATTCCCCCAAAGTCAGTGACCGAGCTTCTGACCCGAGGAGAGAAATACATTAATATGGAAGAAACATTGAATCCAATGTGAGTTAGTCCGACTTATGATGGGGCCGAGCATAAGAGGCAACGTGAGTTGTATCTACAGCAAGACCTTACCAGAGGAAAGCAGAAGCAAGGAACACCACCAACACTTACCCATTTGAACACCTCTAGGTCGAACATATTAATGGAAATCAAAGATATGAAGGAGTTCAATTGGCCACCGCGGTTGAGGTCTCCCCCTGAGACCAGGGACAAGAACAAGTACTGTAACTACCATCGTGACCATGGGCATACTACAAAGGATTGCATTACATTGCAACGTGAGATTGAAGCTTTGATAAAAAGAGGTTTCCTAAAGGAGTATATCAGGCATGACAAGCGTCCCAGGAATGATTGCAATAATGGAAACACCACAGAATCTGGGAGAGGTAACCAACCAACAGTAGGTACCATCAACCTTATAACCCGGGGGATTGCCTCGGGAGAAGATTCAAATAGTGGGCACAAATAATATGCCCGACGACACAGTTCCATATAAATGACAGCTCCCAACGACATGAAAGATATCACATTTGGATCGAAGGACTCAAAAGACATATCATACCCTCATGACGATGCCTTGGTCATATCTACCATCATCGCCAACTTTGAAGTAAGGAGGGTCTTGGTTGACAATGGAAGTGCGGCCAATGTGTTGTCCCAAGAGGCCTTCATGAAGATGGGTATTTCTGTTAACCAGTTCAAGACAGTCAAAACATTGCTCCAGGGATTTGGGCGTGGGACAATCATCCTGGCAGGAATCGTTGATCTTCCCCTAACGTTGGGCTCAGGGCAAAATCAGGTGACAGAAGTCACTCCCTTTCATGTAGTCCATGTTTCGATGGCCTACAATGCCATCATCGGGAGACCACTGCTCAATAAAATCAGGGCCATTGTATCCACCTTCCATCTTGTTATGAAGTTTCCAATAAGTGACGATATAGGGATCGTGCGTAGAGATCAGAAAGCAGCAAAGCAGTGCTATGTTACTTGTGTTCGGGGAATGAGCACTGATGTCATGCAAGTATCAACCCCTAAGTTCGAGCTCGAGAACCAGCAAAAATTTGTCCCAGAAGAACTGATAGAGGCCGAGGTCGAGCATAGCGAATATTGATGATCGCTTAGGATTTATTTTTATTTTTTGGTTTCCATTTTGGCTTGTTTAGTTTAGTTTACTTGGGTTTGCATGCCCTATGCTTTTTTGGTTAGTTTACCTTTATTCGGGCTAGTACGCCCTATGCATTTTCTTATCTACTTAAATAGTTATTTTGACAAGGCCTACGAGCTAATTTTGTCTCTAGAAGGTAGGAAAGTTTATATAAAGAGAGTTGGAACCACACGACACATGTTTTCTTCCAGAAGGAATACGCTAAAAAAGACCTGTTGCGAGCAGGCACCAAAAAAGACCTGCCATGCGCAAGCACCAAAGCCCTGCCTTGCGCAAGCATCAAAAGCTCTGTCACGCACAGGCACCATCAATAGACCTGCCACGAGTATGCACGAAAGAAGACCTGCCACGAGCAAGCACCTAAAAAGACCTGTCACGAGCAGGCATCATCAAAAGGCTTGCCACAAGTAGGCATCAAAAAATCCCTATCACGTGCAGGCACCAAAGCCCTGTCATGAGCAGGCACCATCAAAAGCCCTATCATGAACAGGTACCAAAGCCTTGTTCTACGCAAGCACTCAAAGCCTTGCCCCGAGCAAGTACTTCAAGCCTTATCCCGTACAGGTACTCTAAGCCTTGCCACGGGTAAGCACATCCAAGTCCCGCAATGCATCAAGTAAAAAACCTAACCACGGTCTATCTCGAGCTTGTGAGGCTCAACCTATTCTCAAATCCATGGGAATAGAGCTCGTGATATCATTTCACGTTGGACTCGGGGGGCTTGTCTTCGAGCTGACCTTATCAAATCCCAGCCACAATGGCTCGGGATATTATTTTAAAAATGGGCTCGAGCTATGTCGTCGAGCTCAATTCATTGTCAAAATCCCTAGCCACAAGGGCTAGGGATATTATTTTTAAATTGGGCTCGGCTATGTCCTCGAGCTCAATTCATTGTCAAAGTCCCTGCCACAAGGCCTCAGGATATTATTTTTAAAATGGGCTCAGGCTAAGTCCTTGAGCTCAATTCAATGTCAAATTCCCAGCCACAAGGCCTCAGGATATTATTTTTAAATTGGGCTCGGCTATGTCCTCGAGCTCAATTCATTGTTAAAATTCCTATCATAAGGGCTCGGGATATTATTTCACATTAGGCTCAGGGCCTATCCTCGAGCTCAACGCATTTTCAAATCCCAGCCACAAGGCTTGGGATAATATTTTAAATAAGGCTCGGGCTATGTTCTCGACTCAATTCGTTTCCAAATCCCAGCCATAAGGGCTCGGGATATTATTTTTAAAATGGGCTTGGGCTATGTCCTCGAGCTCAATTTAATGTCAAAATCCCAGCCACAAGGGCTCGGAATATTATTATACATTGGGCTCGAGGTCTGTTCTCGAGCTCAGTGCATTATCAAATCCCAGCCACAAGGGCTCGAGATAATTATCGCACATTAAGTTCGGGCTATGTCTCCTATATGAACTATTGTCTATTCGTCGAGCTCATTCTTTTCAGAATTTTAACAAAGTTTCAGCTCGAGCCCTTCTTTTCAAATTTTAAATAAAGTAGGGATCCATCCCGTATCTTAAAACATGTTTGAGGTCGAGCTCTCCTCTTTCAAAATTTTTGACGAGATTAGGGTCTAAACCTCTAAAAAAAAATTAATGAGCTCAAGGTTGAGCTCCTTCCTTAAAAAATTTTAAACAAGGTCTGTGCATAATATTCTTTTAAAATTTTGACAATATTGGGGTCGAGCTCGTTCCCTTTAAATTTTTAATAAGGTGGGGATCGAGAGTGCCTATCAACTCATCATAACCTTGTCAATCTCTAGGCATGAGCATGACCAGTCCTTGGCATGAGCTCCTTGACCTCTAGGCTTTGGCACACCCTTATCTTGGCATGAGCTCGCCTATCTCTAGGCATGAGCATGACCACTCCTTGGCATGAGCTCCCTGACCTCTAGGCTTTGGCACGCCTATACCTTGGCATGAGCTCGCCTATCTCTAGGCATGAGCATGACCACTCCTTGGCATGAGCTCCCTGACCTCTAGGCTTTGGCACGCCTATACCTTGGCATGAGCTCGCCTATCTCTAGGCATGAGCATGACCACTCCTTGGCATGAGCTCCCTGACCTCTAGGCTTTGGCACGCCTATACCTTGGCATGAGCTCGCCTATCTCTAGGCATGAGCATGACCACTCCTTGGCATGAGCTCCCTGACCTCTAGGCTTTGGCACGCCTATACCTTGGCATGAGCTCGCCTATCTCTAGGCATGAGCATGACCACTCCTTGGCATGAGCTCCCTGACCTCTAGGCTTTGGCACGCCTATACCTTGGCATGAGCTCGCCTATCTCTAAGCATGAGCATGACCACTCCTTGGCATGAGCTCTCTGACCTCTAGGCTTTGGCACGTCTATACCTTGGCATGAGCTCGCCAACCTCTAGGCATAAGCATGCTCTTATCTTGGCATGAGCTCGCCTATCTCTTGGCATGAGCATACCCATCACCTGACATGCTTGTGCATCTCATCCCAGAAACTTGCATATCGTACAAGCCTCTGACATGGATGCACGGGGGCCAATGATGTAGTCACTTTTGGAAATCTCCCGAGATGATTTTCCCAAGGACTCACAAGGTCTTGTTCATCACATATTGGGGAACATAGTCCTCGGGGTAATTCACCTGAGGAGTGGTGACTTGCATCATCGTGATCTGTTCAGTGGTGTCCTCGGGCATATGTCCTAGAGCATCCTTTTGATATACGGGGTTCACGAGTCCTCAAACTATTCCCTTCATACCGAACCCCCCTTTTGTCAAGCAGTATAATTCAAACACCTCAACTCAGGACTCCTACGTCCACAAGAATCCTATGTCAACAATAGCGTCATTGGTCATGCGATTATATGACAAATAAAATACTCTTATCAAGTAGGACTCTATTGGATAAGAACAGCCAACTAATTCAATCCTACTAGAAGTATACTACCTACCTCTATAAATACATGACCCAAGTCCATTATTCAGATACGCTTCTACATACAATTTCAGTATACGTTCTAATATAAATTCTTTGTCTGACTTAAGTATCGGAGGGACGACGAGAACACACCTCATTGCCTTTGTTTCAGGTACCTGAAGGCTCTATTCGTGCTCTTTTTCAGTCCTCAAGTTCGGGAGGTCTACCAGGTACGTTTTTTGGTAGTATCAACAACCTTTTATCGTTGTTGTACAAAAAATTCCGATTGCTGTTTCTATATAATTTTCTATTAATATGTCAAGTTGTTATTAAAATGAGAGAATTATATGATTTGGGATCATTGGTAGCATGTGGGAGTTGTAACTATCCCCAGTTGTTTGAAGCAGAACACGAATGTTATATAAGATCGATGAGATAAAGAAAATATACAGTTGCTTGAAACTATAAGAATTTGGAAAATAGGGAAAGCTCTCAGCAATCTATAATTTTCATAATGGATTTTATAATTTTTGGAGGGCGAAGCAATAGGATGTGGGAGTGGTAACTATCCCAATTTTTTGAAGCAGAACACAAATTTTATATAACACCGATGGGATAAAGAAAATATACAGTTGCATGAAACTATAAGAATTTGGAAATAGGGAGCTCCCGGCAATCTATAATTTCATAATGGATTTTATAGTTTTTGGAGGGTGAAACAAGATTTATAAAACTAAATTAAAAGAAAGGAGGGGCATTATTGAATATAAGAGATTGGAGAAAAAGTATGGAATCTTTCAAAAATAAAAAGTTCGACACTATGGTAATCTTTTAAAAAGGAAACATGCAGTTATTAATTTAATCGGTAAATTGGTTGCTAAGTGTTTCTTTCATTTTTCATTTTCAATTTTATAAGTCTAATGTTTTACGTATTTTACTTTTCAAAAGAATAAGTGTGAGGTTTACATAATAGAAAATTAACAAGAACCTCCATTAAAACCAAATTTCTCGATTTAAAGATTGAGGACTAACTTGCTACGTAAGCCATAGGTGAAGAATCAACAAGACAGAATTTCTCCAACTAAAATTTTTAAAGTAGGTCCCCAATTTTGAAACCATGATATTTCACCCTCAACTTTTCAATGTTATTGCTTGGACGCTTTCCATTCGAGTTTCCTTAACAAATGAAAATATTATTTCAACTTTATTTTCAGTCAAAAAAGCAAAAGTAAAAAGAACTACAAAAAAAGTAAAAATAATCTTTAAGGAAGACAAGAACTACCATTATCGTGAATACAAACCTCCAAAATCTAGTTGTTAATAGAACTAAAAACTAAAATGAAAAGGAAATCAAGCCGCCGTTTAAATGAAAACGGTGCCTAATATTTGTCAAGTAAGATTAAAATGTCTAAATGGATTAAGAACTTTGTCAACTTTATTTAGTTCGATCAGAATCCTCAAAATGCCTCGAAATTCAAGTAAAAAAGGAATAGGAAATGTCAAAATGGACTAGAAATTCTCATCAACTTTGCCTAATTTGAGGAAAATGTCTAGATGTTTTGAAATTCGTACACAATGAAGATATAGAGTGTCTAAAGAGACCTTTTTTTTTTTTTTTTTTTGGTCAAACTTTGCCTAATTTGACAAGAATGCATAAATTATCCAAAACTTGTACAAAATGGAAGATGGAGAATTTGGAAACCCCTTCTCTCACTTAGTCCTCATGTAGCCGCTAGTCTATTGGGTTGGAAATCACTATCGGATGAGAAGATGAGGACGGCCCGAGATCTCTAGCGTCTTATCAGAAAAGATGAGAAGATTATTTTTATCCAAAAATAAACATTATTTCGAAACTAAATAGTGGGGGATACATTTCATTTTCGGGTAATTATATTCACACTGCATTTTTTTTTCTACCACATTTTAATTGCATTTAATGTTCATAATATATGCTTATTATAGCATTTATATCTCTAACGATTTTTCATATCATTCGTATCCTAAAACTTTTCATTAATTAACACCTTTTGTATTTGATAACAATTTTATATG